ATATGAACTACAAACTTGGATGGAACATAAAATTGTTACTTAAGATTATTTTACTTTTTTTTGTATTCAAAATCATTTATCACTTCTTCTGAATATTCAAATATTATTCCTCAACGTACCTGCTCTTCATCTATAGTTTCTTTGCAAATTTATCTTGAAATCTATTATCTAAATAAAATAGTAGTGTAATACCTTATGTCATGGGTTTAAATTTCCAAGACTGCACTAGTCTTTAATCTTTTGCATCATTTTATTAGGAATATTAAGATATTCTTAATACTACGCTTATACATTTGTTTAAACAGAAAATATATTTTACCTTTATATGGTTTCTTTCTTTAATCATCAATATTACATGTGATTAGTAACATATGTGTAGTAATTTTTGTAGTCATTAAATTAGGCCAACTCTACTTAGGTACAAAATAATAATCTTAGTATTAATATTACTGAAAAACTACTTAGTGTTAAGAATACTGCTTCTTACAACGTACAGAGATGATATACTCCTGACTTAGCCAAAAAGAATCAATCACATCCTAGATTTTTGTTCTTAAAGTGTCACTGTCGGATGAAGAAAATGTTTTCATATAAGGGATAAAGAAAATCTAACAGTATTCCAAAAATTACTTCTTAGAATATTTAACTTTATATCATTGACTATCTCTAGTAAATAAGGAGGCAGACTTGTTCCTATCTAAAGAATAATATATTGCATATATCAGTTGACATTTTAATTGAATCCTTATCCCACACTCTATATGTCTTACTTGCTCCAACATTAAATGTTGAACTGGCAACATGTTTCTGAATCTTCCTTGGCAACAGGCATCAGTTTTCAATGAATTAAATCATGGTTCTTTTCATGAAATAGTCACTGTATGCCTCTTCTACTTTTAGCAAAAAAACAAAAAACAATCCTGCTTAACACGGTGTATAGTTTTGAAAACAAATTGCTTCACTTATAAAAATAATTTTTAACACAGAAAACATTTTGAGATGTATTTGAAAAATATAAATTAAAGGAATTAAACATTTAGCTAAGCATTTGAAGGGCCCAGCACGGTAGCCTAGTGGCTAAAATCCACACCTTGCATGCACCAGGATCCCATTTGGGTACCAGTTCTGGTCCCAGCGGCCCTATTTCTCATCCAGCTCCCTGCTTGTGGCCAGGGAAAGCAGCAGAGGACGGCCCAAGGCCTTGGGACCCTGCACCCGCATGGGAGAGCCAAGAGGCTTCTGGCTTTGGATCAGCTCAACTCTGGCCCTTGTGGCCCACTGGAGGAGTGAATCAACGGACAAAAGAGCTTCTTCTCTGTCTCTCCTTGTCTCTGTAAATCTGATTTTCCAATAAAAAAACAAAATAAATCTTTTAAAAAAGCATTTGATTCATAGTTTTCATTGCATACAGAGGAACTGAATAAAGAAATATAAGAAACAACCCAATTTTAAACGCACATGGTTTTAGTTTGATTCTAATCTGACACTAGGTTTCTTATAATATAGATTTTAGTGTCAACTTTTAGTCTTGGTTGGACTGATAGATAAATGTCATTTCCTGTGAATGGTTAGGGAAGAGTGTGACAGTAAAACAGGTACATCACAATATTTTTGTGGGCTTTTGGAATGATAGTCAGGTATACTCAGACTGATTTCATCATAAAAGTCAAACTAACCTTTATACTATGGGTCTGGGTTATGATAATGGGTGAGCTTTTGAATGCTTTAAGGATATACACAAAAAAGAACTGGCTCACAGATATAAAGCAAGAACGAGATGCTTGTGCTAATTTCCTCCTTGGACTTTAACAATTAAATTTAATATGTTTAATTAAAACAATCTGAGAAACTTTTGTTCTGTTTTTTAAAATGACTATGTTAGTAAAAATAGAAATAATCTTTGGAGAAATAAATTAGAAGCTAGAATTCACCACATTATTATAAGTTGCAGGAATGGGATATTAAGATTAAATCATAAATTATTTGCTGCAATCATGTAACTTTTTCTGCAACACTCATACCTTATACTTCATTTGAGATAGTAATTCTATTTTTGAAAAGTTATATGCAGAAGTAGCGCCAAACATTCTAACAGTCTGAACTATCACAAATACGCTCCATTGTTAGCACTGCCTATGCTGTGCATGCTCACTAATGGGTAGTTACAAGATGTAATTTTGTTTCAAAGGCTTTTTTTGGTATCTGAGCCTAATCTCAAGTGTTTTTTAATACATTACATGAGCTTAGTGAAGTTGATCACTGCTAGTTTTCTTATTTATTTATTTTTAAGAAAAGACATCTTGCAATAATTCCAGAAGAATCTGAGTTGAGAATTAACTCAGCACAAATGCTGTCTATTTGCCAGCTTACTTACATAGAAGCTTTAACAGTAATCATTTCCCTGTAAAGTTGAAATGGAATTATCAAAGCTCTCCCTCACTCAGCTCTAGCCCATAACGTACAGTCCTGCTGAGACACCTAAACAGGACAGAAGATGCTGTGAGTGGAAAAGGCCCAAGTGAAGTGTTTTGAGAAGACCCTCAGACATGTACATTTATGGCATGATAGAAGGAATACTGATTTTGAGAGAAAATTTATTTTGCATTGGGACCAGAACACTATTAAAATCAACTGCAATGTTAGTATGGCTTAAGGGTTTGTTACCCATATAATTTAATCAATATTTCATAAGCGTGAGTACGAAGTCACAGCTAGAAAAGAAAGGGGAAAAGAGACAGAAAGTAAAAAATGATGGAAATGAGAGGACACACCAATCAGATCTGGAGTCACCAGTCAGAAGTTTAGTTGAAAAAAAAAAAAATCACCAAGTGAACTCGTACATTTACTCTGAGAGAGTATCCTTTCCCATTGCCTTCTAGGTGATCTCTGAGCTCCTGCAGCTTTCGATGGAGCTACATGTAAACATCAGAAAATGCATTGAAAAAGCAACTTGTTCTCTTTTCAGTTTTTCTCTTTTTCCTTTTAAAAATAAGATCAGAGCATTACACATTTCTCACTGCCTTTGGCAAACATTTCCAAACATCCACGGTCTGTGTGGCACATTAAGAACACATGCTCAAAAAAACAGCGGCTAGGAAGCCAATATTTTCCTAGTTAATTGCTGTATCTTTTCTCCCCAAAAGCCTCAGAGAAAATAGATTCTTTTACTATTCTGGTAATCCTCTAGAGGTTCAGTTTAAAGCTTGCTATTTGGTAAAAACAGCAGTAAAAATACCTGAGAATTATGAAATTTTGCCAAACATATTTTTTCCCAAATAGAATTTTTAAGGCTTCATCCATATTAAATAAACTGAACAGTAAAACATACCATTTGTTCCTAAATATATATGCATAAACATAACTGCACTGTATATACACTTAATAACAATAAGTATATTTCTAACTTCAAGGTCTACACATCCATCAGGTAAATTTAGAGAGAATCACACACACACGCACTCACACAAACAATCCAGGTTACAGCAAATGACGCTGCAGCACTGGATGCCATTTTCACCTCTACGTTACTACCAAAAGTCAGAATTCTGTTTTATGCACAGTCTCACAGGAATTTGAGTCAGGCTCCATATCTAAACAATAATGGGTTTATCTTTAAGGACAAAGATAAAAATATGATACCTCACATTCAGACAGTGAGGAATGCTACTGAAATACATTTTCTGACTGAATAATTTTTACTTTCCTAGTTTTTGAAACAGGCATAAAATCAACACCCCTCCCTTGGATTGTCTTTAGGGAAATAACATTTTAATGAAATAGCTACCCACTAGAAAGTAGTAGTAGAGAACAGAGAGGATGGCTTTTTCAGAATAAAATTCACAAACATACACACACCTTCATTCATGTGCACTCATGTGTGCACACACACAAATAAACAACAAAAAAGTCAAACTAAGAAGGCAGAGGAGATAAGGACAATGCATAATTAGCATTTTACAAACCATTGAATTGCAGTACATTAGAGCACTGTAAAATTTTCAAATGGCTCAATATTAGGGCTCAGGGTAAGAATTTAGGGACATCTTATGGCAAGGAATTTTTTAGCAGCTTGATTAACTTATTAAGTTATTACTTTTGTGATACTAATTGGGAGTGAGACACAACAAAGCAGTTAATTTTGCAGGGGGATTATTCTCTATATTTTTAGAATTCATAAAATTTTCTAACTTGTATTTATGGTGGCAGCATTAAAGGTGATTCATAACGGCACGTGCTTCTTACGTATAAAATGTTGTTTACTTTTCATTGGGATTAAATGTTATAGGACTAAATGTCCAAGATATTCTGATCAGAAGATATTTAGCAACTAGTAAACTGAAGGATCAAATCAGAAATTTTGGAGTTACACATATCAGATTACATATGCAAATTGGCAAATATTTAAATGTTTCTATTAATTGTATCAATGTTTTAAACATTCAAACCATAGAGGGGGGTAGGTGTGCTAAAGCACTATTATAACTATATGAGGGCCCATATATAAAAAATCATAATTTTTAAGGTTACATATTTTCTACACATGCAACTGACTCATAATTTGTTCTGCAATGAGCTACAAATGATAATGACACTAAACATTAATACGTTTTACGAAAAGTTAGAAGGGGAGATAACATTCCGGAAATAGATTAGTTTTCTGTGTAACAGGAACTTAACACACAGTCAGTGACATCAATCAGAGGAACGGTTTACTCTAGAACCCCGAGTTATAGGCACCTGGATTGAGGCAGTTGCCCTTTCTCTTGTTTGTGGTGCCATTCAAAGCTAGTTATTTGGCAGCTTGCCTTCAGCTGGTTGCTCTATGTGTAGCTGAAACAAAAAAAATAATATGACCCAACAGCCAATAAAAATATTAAAATAAAAAAAATGGGATGGTGAAAAATGGAAAAAGCCCCCTTCCTCCCTCCACCCTCCCAAAAGGAAGAAGTATAGGCTATAGACGAAATCTTGCCAAAAAAAAATGTTAGAAACATATTTACTTTGAGGGATCCAACTCTACTAGCAACTCCTTTGCTTTCATCCGGCCGTCTAATTTGCTACAATGAGGGAAGATGGGTAAAAAAGACAGAATAAAGAAAAAGTGAACTTAAAAAATTTTCTACACATTAGTAATACATGCAAGAACATCAACTGACTATTTGAGGTACATCTTAGGAGGTCAGGGAGTTAACTAACTCACAGGCTGCATGAAATGCTCTGTAAATAATCTGAACCCTGGAATTCAGTCTGTTTCAGCAATATTCCTGAGATGAGGAAATTGGCACTTACTTTTTGTTATCTTGGGAATTTCTGATGAAGCAGTATCTGGAGTAGTACTACATTTGCATTTGGCATATGAAAAACAAAGAATTAAAAATATGCCTATACACTTTACTAGTGTGCTATGTCCTTTCTAATATCAGAAAAACGTTAATTGTATGACTAGAAACATAGGTGTTTTCTAAAACCCAGGTGGAAAGATCTGTCCTGACAAGCATCATTCTTCATTAGTGACAGAGTGCAGCTCCTCTACTTGTTGATCCAAGCATTGAGGCTACTCAGCTGTCACGGGGATTATCAATAAAACAATCGTGCTGCCCAAACAGAAAATTTTAATGCCAGACCAATGTTAGATATATTCACTCCTTCAAAGCTTTCTGGAATTTCAATTGAAATTTTTTTTTTTTTTTTAGTTAACACTGGGAAAAAGAAAAATAACATTGCTGGTTTTTAAAAAAAATTATATCATTATATAAAAGAGCAAAACAAAAATTTTAAACACAAGGTGCTTCATCAAGTAAAGCGTTTTAAAATGCAGCTCTAATTAGAACTAATGTTCTGGTAACTGAGGGAAGTAAGCCAAGCAGTACAAGGGCGGAGGAGTGAAAGAAGTTTCAGGTACTTGCACAATGATGGTCTCAATTCAGATCAACATAGATGAAGTTAGCTGTGACGCTCCTCCTTACTGGGAGACACAGGAAGTATCAGTGTGATGCCATTGTCCAAGTGCTAAAGTCTTCCCCCCAAAATAAAAACTCTGATCGTAAGTTTTATTCTCTGAAAGTAAAATCTATAGAGTATCTCACCTGTCTAGGAAATGTCTGAAAGTATGTGAATACTGCTGAAAAATACTACTGAGAAAATCAAATTTTTGTTTTGAAAAAGCTCATAAGAACTGAGATGCATCACCCCTTGGCTTGGTTTCACAGTTTTAATGACCTCTCCAGCATTAATTGTTATTGCGAAAAGATGATCACTGCACTCAAACAACGAACACTGATTATAATGCCGGTACTGAGTGGGCCTCTTGATGGGGAATGTGCTCATAAAATCTACTCATTTTCTTATGCTATTTTCTTTGCTTATAGGGAAAATTCAAAGTGGTTTTCCATATTAAATGGAAATTCACAATAACTGGATAATAAATACAGATTTGGTAGTTTCCTATAAGATGTAAATTAGAATGACTCATGTTGCTTTCTGGAAATACAGAAAATGTTAACTTTGTGCCTGTCGTATAGCAAAAAGTGAAAAAAAAATATGAATTGTTTTTTTTTTAATTCTGTAAGGCTTAAAATTAAAAATTAAAATTCTGTAAGGCAGTAATTTGAGATGTAATTTGAGTAATTCTTTAAGATGGCACATGAAATTAAAGACAAATACAGGGATAATCCTCTGGTTCCTAAATTCTGGTTAAAAATGACATTCATTTAACAGGCCTGGATATAAATGGGCTAGAAAGAAACTGATGCTTATAAGAGAATGTGTATATACATATATATACTCATATAGGTGTGTGTGAAAATCGCCATTTTTCTGTTTGTCTATGCAAGAAATTGTATTATTATATTTATTTATAAAAGAAGTTATTCCTACAAAATTTCCATTGCAAATACAAGTTTAAGTCCACAAATTTGCTGAATAAAGTACAAAAAGAATATAATCATCACTGAACTGGGAATTTGAAAAACTGACTATAACATGGATTGAAATAGACTTTGGGGAATAGAACGCTTATCAATGAGTGAGATAAATTTCCCATACACAACTAACGCTTTGAAACTCTTACAGGAGGAAGACTTCAGAAAAACACTGTGGTTTTTCTAACTAGGTGCGTATAATTCAAATTTTATGTGATTTTTTTTTTGTGGCTCCAGGAATATAATCTCTTATATTGAAAAGCATCATAAAACTGGAAGTTTTTGTTTCTATAAATTAAAATTTGAGAAACAGGGAAAAGTGAAGTCAAAAGCTAAATCAGTAAAAAAAAAAAAATCAATGCAATACTCTCATTTATATGTTCTTATCACCAATATAAAAGAGTAGCATATATAAGATATTCACATCTGATCCAACTGCCTAATTACTATTTTGGATGAGAATTTAAAAGCCACCAAAGATGAAAACTTACATAAGAAGAATTAATTTGCTTTTTGTGATAATTATAAGAGTCTTGCATTGTTACCTACTTTTATACACATTTTTCTAGGAGGCTGAACATTCTCTATTAACAGCTAAAAGAGCCTGATACAGGACAAATTTCATTATGTAAAATGCTTGGTTCTTAGAAATGTTTCTAATGTTGAAGGTTTTTAAAATTTTGATCAAACGATAAAGTTAGTTTTTGCATTTTAACATTAGGAATGCAAAACTTTCATTAAACATAGGTTGGATGTAATAAAAGTAAATTTTGAGAAGAGGCAATGAAGAACTGTGAGGATTGAGTCAGCTGAGATTGTTGGTTTACATACAAAAGCTGAAAACTACAATGTTTATAGCAAAACCAAATTGTCATAGATAATATAGGATCAAGGACATCAAATGTTCTATTCAGTCTAAATATTCACTGAGAATAGCCTAAATAAATACTATTGCACTATTATCTGCTGTTTAAAGTTATAGGAATATTTCTTTAGGGATTAGTTTCTAAGGAAAGCATTCTCAGAGATATATTATTAGGATGTAAACTATAAAAACAGTAAAGTGACTCTTCTGTTGTAGTTGCACTTTTCATAATAAATATATAAAGTATTTGCATTTTGTAAACATCATGCAATGAAAGAAAACTGCCTAGATCTTAATCAAGGATCAGGCAGTGATCTCCTGATTTGGCACAATTTTCCAAGACTGAGCTCACCATAAAATCATTTCTACTGTTAGTAAGTTAGAAATCTATCCTGTGACACCCTCACCTCACCAAAGAAATTTTAAATATTGCAAATATAAATTTATTGAATTTTTATTACAACAAACATACTATGCAGCAGAAAGCCAACTTTATGTTATTTTTAAAGTATAAAATAAGAAGCTTCAAAAAACAGTTAGGCTGCAGCAGTCATGTCAAGGTAGGCTTCCATACTATTGGGTTTATGGTTTTAACAATTATATTTACTTAAAAGATGTTTGATAAAAATGTTTTAGAACACATTCATTTCCTATTTGCTTATTTTACTGAGGAAGGAATTGAAGTTGGGGTATTTCTGTGGCTTAACTGTGCCAACAACAACAAAAAAAGCACAGTGAATACTAAATTCTTATTTGCAAGTGTTTAAATTTGAGTGCTCACATATGAAATGAGTAACAAATCTACCTTTAGCTACACGATACATTTTATGATTTTGATTAAAAATCATAAAGACAAAAATTTGTTTATTTGCCTTATGTACCGAATCATCTTGTAAAATTGGTTTGCTTAAGAGTTCAATATTAAAAGAAACTTCTATAAGTATTAAATACTTTTGGGTATCTGGTCAATATTTCACTTCACTATATTCTTCATATTACAGTATATAGCCCTTTGGATAAAACACATACCTCACTGTATTACAGCTCATTCATGATTTATTAAGTCAAAGTAAAAAAAAAAAGAGATCCAAATATTATATGACTGTGTCAAGGAAAAATTAATGTATTGTGGAAGAAAGGCAATGTGATTTTTGGAAAAAAAAATGGAAGTATAAAAAACATCAAGTGAAATTACAAAGAGTAATGAGAAATGAGAAGTCACAAAATATAACTTTCCTCCTGTAAATTTAGGAAACTCTCATTCTAAAAGGTTTTAATTTGTTAATATTTGTAATCATTTACTAACATTTTATTGCTCAACTGTAATTTTGGTCATTACATTCTAGAATAGCTTTAATTTCATAGATAACATAATGTCTACACAAAATGAAATGTTTTTAAAGAATAACCTATGACTGAGCCAGAGAATAATCAAAGTTCATATTTTTAAAAAATTTTAAATCTGTTCAACAGATAGTACAAATCAGGGACCTTAAAATAGATGACTTTTCAATAGTATATTGCTTGCTACTAATAACTTTTTATTTTTCAAATTTTTTAATAGAAAAGAATGTTTATCCTTGAACTGCGAATGAAATATGACATAATTTACTACTTAGCAGGATTCAGAATGGCTTAACCTGATTATAAAACCAGTCATAAATAACTGGACTGGACTTAATACAGATTTACTACAAATCTGAAGAGTAGGCAAAATAATACCTCTGACATGACCTGGGCTTATTTTAACAACCACATCAGCATTAGTGAGAGAAATCTATACTCTTGATTATAAAAATAATATATGCTGTAAAAAAATAACTTGTGGGGACATCCTTGTGTGGTTTTATTCGCTCTTTTTAAATCATTTTATTTTGGGTATTTTCTCAATCATTAAATATTCTTAAAAGTATGACTTTCCAAAGATATAAAATATATAAACATTAGTGATGTTTCAGATTTTTCTCTAATATACTGTGCTAACAGTCCTCATAATTTCCACCGGATGAATTTCTAGAATCAAGTTGACTGGTTAAGGCCAAAAATTCAAGGTCCTTTCTCTTTCTCTGTGTGGTATGTAACACACTTCAATCAAATGACATACTTGCTTAAAAGGTTACAAATATTCATATCCCTGTCACTATTGAGATAGAATGCACTGCTCCTACAGCATTGATGATTGAAGCTATAAAATAGTGATTAGTATCACTGTAAAATTTGCATTGCTTTAAAATGTGGGTTTCCAGTCACAGTACTTCTGTGTTTACTTCCA